GGAAAGAGAAGGGGTGCGCTCCAGAGTGGGTAGTACTGAAGGGGAGGAATTGACCTCCAGGTAGAAGACATCAGGACAGCAATTCCTAATGGCAGGGTTGAAGCAACCATATTTTCCTGGAGGATCCATTTTGGGAACCCCTGAACCCCTGTGCTCAGTGCAGCCATCGTATGGTGCAGCTTGCAGGAAGCAGTCCTCAGGCCTCCTGCTCAGCATGACCAGTTGCGGTGGCTCTAGGGCAAGTTTAAAGCCACAGGGCACAAGAGCACTCCACTCCCCATATGCTCCCTGCTATTGCCTATGCGCAGCTCAATCTACAGCCTGAATGTCTGGGTTTGTCCCAAACCAGCAGGGGAAGCCAAACTGCTCTTCTGTGGTAATTGAGACAAACCCAAACACTTCTTTCGTATGACATTTTAGGATTACAACATTTATAGATTTAATATCTAAATTTGATAACCATTTGACTTCTTTAGGGGTAGCTGCATAGATTGATTTTAGATGGCCATTAAATGATTTAATCGAGCAGTCATTCACAATGTGTTGCGCGATCTGAAAAATTGCACCACAGTCACAACCCAGACTCTCTTTGATTCTCCGTTTATGGAGTAGGTCTCCACATTTTCTATGAAGTGTCTGGATGCGATTCAGGGAGTACCAAATCTTTCTCAAACAGCAGGAGACTGCACAGTACATGTTCCAGGGGTCCTACTGTCTGGGCCAAGCCAGCTGGATGGGCTGTTTTCCAGTCCTGTTGCCCTTTGTGCATGAAGTTTGCACTGTTTACATGCAGGGCAGCAGGAAATATTAACTCCTTAAAGTCCTGGTTTGCTGATGTTTACTGTGAGCAGGGATCTGAGCTTCAGTCACCAGGAGCAGGACCAGGTCTGCACTGCACAGGGGGATGAACCCACTTTAGTTAGCGTGACTCTGTGACCGTGCTGGTCATTTGTGCCAATGGAGATTCACACATTTATGCCTTGCCTTACCCACTTAATTAGTCCCTAGCTATTAACCTGCCTGATTAGCCTTTGATCGAGTGACTCTGACCATCAGCAAATGTTCTGCTGTGCGCTATGGGTCGGGGGAGGTTCACATGCTGCCACTAGTGGGTTCCCGGTCCACTGAGGCCACTCTTCTCTCCCTGCCCCTTAAAGGGACTTGGCTAGCATCTCTCTGGTTTATAGAAGTATTTGGAACCTGGGATTTTCCCTGGGGTAAATCTGAGCCCCCAGTGGGAGCTGGCAGGAGAAGCAGACACACACACACATATTTACATGTCTGACCCACGGGACAGAGGTTAACTTGCATGAATGATGCTTAGGGCTCAGACTTATGCCAGATACACATGGTGAGTGACTCCAGTTTTCTGCCCCTCCCAGGGGCTTTGTGAGCAGAGAGGAGAGCTGCTGCATTCTTTCTACTTGATACTGGAGCCTTTAGGAATCAGATTACCACAGCTATTACCTGCAGTAGTGAGGACTTCCTTCTTTTTGAATGGAAAGCGAAGACTCTCCCATATTCTTGTGACTCCAGGAGCTGGAGCTTTACTCAGGGGATCCACTTGGGAGTATAGTGAGACTCACAATACAGCTGCAGCAGCTGACAACATGGATTATGGCATGAATTCCTCATAACATGGAATCCAAGGGAATATGAAGGTAAGCCTCACCTGCTGTTCACTTAGGAGGGGCCTGTTCAGAGAGTTCTTTAAAGAGACAAGGGAAGCTGGGGCTGGTACCTCCAGGCTAGGTGGTCACCCTGAGTCATTTGCTAGAATTGGGGTCTCTGCTGACAGGTCCTTCTGAACTCTGCTCATAGGGGCTGGGACAGGGCAGGCCTAGTCTGGTTGCCTGTTCTTTGGTGGCAGTGGGGGCTGGCACACATCTGGCTCCTACAGGGCTTTGCAGCAGTGCAGAATGGACAGAGCACAGATCCCCCTTCACCATGTTCCCTCCTGCTTCCTTAATCTGCACTTCTCTGACCCATGTATTCCCCACTCAAGTCTGAAGCTTCTGTGGAGGATGTGCAGAATTAGCCTTGTGTCTGGGGATAAGGGTGCTCTTGGGGGCTGGGTGGGCTGTGATTCTCTATTTGGGAGGACTTTGTGCTAGCCAAACTGATATGGAGGCCAACAGGACACAAAGTGCTGGACTAAGGATCTGGGCACTTTCAGGCTATGATCTCTTGTCATTTGTTTGCTGCTAGTGGTGGGAAGGAAACAGTTTCTCATAGGTTGTAGTGACTCAGACATCCCAAAGACTGGGTTACATTAGTTAGACTCAGGATGGTAGAGGCAGGTGCAATTCATTCATTGAGCATGCCCTGATTCTCCCTGCCTGGCAGCCATGTGGCTTGGCTGGATATGAATAGCATTTTGGTCAGCAAAGTGGTGAGAGAAAAGCAGCCTCCTAGTGGAACCAAAGGAACCCACATAGCATGGCACCACAATTAACCAGGAAAATACTTCAGGATTGGAGAACATAACTCACAGCATGAGACTGAGAGCGCTCATCTGTTTAGCATATCAAACAAAAGATCCAGTAGTAACAGGATCAGAGGGCACATCTATACGTGTGGTTTAATGGGCAGTAGCCTATTTACTGCACATTAAAGTGTCACGTAAAAAAACTATTACGCTAATGCACAGAAAATAGACTACTGCACATTAAGTGTCACTTAAAAACCATGCACATTTGCTACTGTGCATTAAGACAGCTTAATATACATTTGTTTAGTACCTCACACTAGAGGCATTTTTGAAAGGTGCCCAGCGCTGCAATGCTTGCAGTTGTATAAGTGGCAAAATTTCATAGATTTCATAGACATTAGGGCTGGAAGGGACCTCAGAAGATCATCGAGTCCAGCCCCCTGCCCCAGGGGCAGGAAGTCAGCTGGGTTCAAAGGATCCCAGCAAGATAAACATCCAATTGTTTCTTAAAGGAGTTCAGAATAGGCGCTTGCACCACCTCTGGAGGCAGTCTGTTCCAGGCGTTGGGGGCTTGGATAGTAAAGAAGTTTTTCCTTATGTCCAACCTGAAATGGTCTTGGAGGAGTTTGTGACCATTTAACCTTGTCATCCTTTGGGACGCTCTGGGGAACAGGCATTCCCCCAAATCCTGATGCACACCCCTTATGTACTTATAGGCAGCCACCAGGTCCCCCCTGAGCCTGCATTTTTCCAGGCTGAAGAGTCCCATAGCTCTCAGGCTCTCATCATAAGGCCTGTTTTCCTGCCCTCTGATCATGCAAGTGGCTCTCCTCTGGACTCTCTCAAGCTTCTCCACATCCTTTTAAAACTGTGGAGCCCAGAATTGGATGCAGTACTCCAGCTGCGGCCTCACCAAGGCCAAGTACAGCGGGAGGATCACATCCTGGGATTTGCATGAGAAGCATCTGTGGATGCAAGCCAGAGTTCTGCTCGCTTTGCCGGCTGCAACATCACATTGATGGCTCATATTCATCTTGTGGTTAATCATGACCACCAAGTCCCTCTCAGCCGTGGTGCTAGCAAGCGTAGCACTGCCGAGCCTATAAGCATAATGCGGGTTTTTCTTCCCAAGGTGAAGTACCTTGCATTTTTCAATATTGAAGGCCATCAGGTTGTTATCTGCCCATTTTCTGAGCTTGTCAAGGTTGGCCTGGATCACCATCCTGTCCTCCGGTGTGAACGCTTTACCCCAAAGTTTGGGGACACCAGCGAACTTGGCCAGTCTGCTTCTGATACCAATGTCCACATCATTAATGAAGATGTTGAAAAGAACAGGCCCAAGAACGGAGCCTTGGGGGACCCCATTGGTCATAGCATACCACAATGATTGACTTCCATCAACTACCGCTCTCTGGGTCCGACCTCAGAGCCAATTCCCCAGCCAGCGGACTGTGATGTAGCCGAGGCCACAGTTGGCCAATTTTTCCATGAGATGATCATGGGATACCAGATGGAAAGCTTTTTTAAAATCAAGATATATGACATCAATCTCTTCTCCCTTGTCCAGGTGATATGTCATCTGGTCATAGAAGGAGATGAGATTGATCAGGCAAGCCCTACCACAACAAACCCATGCTGGCTATCCCTCAGGAAGTTGCCTTCAGTCAGTTTGTCAAGAATGGTCTCTTTGACGATTTTTTCCAAGATCTTCCCCAGGATAGAGGTCAGGCTTATGGGCCTGTAGTTCCCTGGATCTACTTTCCTCCCTTTTTTGAAGATAGGCACCACATTGGCCTTCTTCCAATCTTCGGGCACTTCACCTGAGCACCACGAGTTCTCGAAGATCTGTGCCAGTGGCAGAGCTATGATGCTTGCCAGCTCCTTAAGTACCCTGGGGTATAAGCTGTCTGGGCCAGCT